TGCATGCTTGTTTCAGATCGGTAACTCACAAAAAGACTAGTATGATAAAGGATGACCTTCTCAAGAGCTTATATTCCTGTACGAAACTCTACTTCTATCCTGGCAGGCTCCTTTTAATTTCTGTAGATAAAGTGGAGATGAATAAGATAACTTGGTGCCCCCACAGTTGCCTCTTGGGCTGCAATTATGAGATTCTCTGTTTTTTGTCTGGACTGTAAATGACTAGAAGTGATGCTTCTGATTCTGGGCCTTGCTTGTGATCATGTTGTTTCTGAGCTGCATCTATGGAGTTAAGGAGTTTGTTGGATAATCTCTACATGCCGTTTTTTATGTTTGCTAGATAGCAAAGAACCCAAGACACACATGTGCCATGGTCCAGAATGAGCGCCACAGGCCATGGTGGTCATAAATATTTGTCTTCCCAAACACCCCTGGCCTTTGCTGTGGATGGGGAGAGTTAATTGGACAAGTTAGGTTTGTTCTGATTGAGAATGGAGGAGATAAAGAGTAGGCAGGCCTACTCTAAACCACTCAGCCCTCTTCCCCTCAGGTTCCAAAGTACCATGTATATGCTATAGGCCACATTAGAATGCCTCAGGTCTTGGTGGTCCTATATATTTAGGTCTTCTATGCATCCTGGCCCATTGTTTGGTTTAGGGAGGTGGTTGATTAGACAAAGTTTGTTCCGATCGATCGAGAGTGGAGGAGATCAGCGGAGCAAGCAGGCCTACTGTGAGCCACTTGGCCCTCTTTCTTATCAATTAGTAGAGCTAACGATTTTTTGAAATGCTCTGCAGCACTGTTTAGATTTTGTGATCTGGGGAATGTGCCTACACAACCAAGAGCACTATAATGTCTGAAGTACAACAATATCAGTTGCTTTCACAATTCATTGGAACAAACAAAAATCCTCTAGCAGCCAAGGAATGTTGTTAATACTGTGAAATAACACCAAGGTCACAAAACTATTCAGCCTAATGGCTTCCTTCCTAACTTTATTCTGTAGTCTCCCAAGCTGGCCAGTATTTTGAGAACTAAATCTCCAGATGTCTTTACCTGCCCTCAAGTTTACATAACAAGATGGCCTTTTGTCTAGTTTTATGCTGAAAACTAACATTGTTTGTATACCTAGGCATACACAATGAAGTGTACACACACTGCAAATCTCTTGTTTAGAGATAGGCTAGGTTTTCCCCAATGATACAGATTTGGGTGTCTGTAATACATTAGCAGCTTCTTTGTACCTAATCTTGCTTATTTGCTGCACTAATTTGCTTCTTTGTAACCCTGACAAGTCCATCAGTTTGACATCCTATTTGTAAACAGTCTATCAAACAAAGTATCCAGTTGAGCACAAACCACTGTGGTGAGAGGGCTTGGAGTGTGACAGCTGTAAAACAGGCCATCTCTTAGGCAAGTGACGACGCTAATCTAAATACAGGTAGTAATTAGATTACAGATGTTTACGACTTGTTTAGGAAGCTGGGGATAAAATCAGAACAAAACTTCTTAAAATATATGCTAGTAGTTTTTCGAGCAAACATTCGTATGAAAATTCTTATCAGCATAGTCGATGACTTGAAAAAATTTAATTCATAAATACTACAAAACATTTTGCTTTTAACATTTAATTTTGGAGTATATGGACTTTTCCAGATAAAAAACTACTTAGATGGTTAGGAATTCAAGAAAAATTTTCCATCCTTCTCTAAATTTCCATTTCACTGCGGTTGGAAGGAACATCAAATTGACAAATAGCAAATAGGATGAACATTTTTAAAATGAACATTTTCAAATTAACATCTTCTAGGGAGGGTATGGCTACCTTAAGCCAAGGATTTCAGAACCATTTCATCTTTGGAAAGTAGTCATTGAAATCCAAATGTAATTTAAAGTAAAACCACAGGAAGCATTTTAATGGTATAATTATTCAGGGTTTCCTCTTTAGCTGTATGGGCTGTTGGTTGTTTTTTGTATCTTTTATCTAGAATAGCCATTCTCAAAAAGTGTTCCATAGAACCCTAGGATTTCTCCGGAGGTGTCTACTGCTTCCTCAAGCTGTGGCTGACTGAACTCCCATTCTATGGTGCCTGCATAGTTCCAGGTCCAACTCCATGTCTGACCACCACTGTACAGGCGGCATTCTTCCCACTGGCCGTATGTATGGCCATATTGTCTCCAAACGTATTGGTTTTAGCAGGGGTTCCCTGAGACCTAAAAAAAAAAAAAAAAATTCAAAGGTTCCTCTGGGCTGAGAGCGGCTGATTTAGAAATTTTGTCTTTTCAGCTGTAAGGGAACTACATCATCAACTGCTACGTCTGCTTTTATGTGTGCCCCACCTGTTTCAGGGATACATGCACACGGCCATAGTGAAGTTGGTGATCATCTTTGCAGGATCTTGCTGGCAGCAAGATCACCCTTATAAAAAAAAAAAGCCTCATGAAACTATGTATAAAGTGCATGCTTTTTCATGAATATAGACGCATAAATGTCCATAGAGCTTTTAGATAACTCAAATTCTTCCTCTGCCTATTTGGTTTTATCTTTTATATTAAACCCTTATACCCTTCTCTAAAATAGTAATATATGGTTGCTGTGGACAATAAGTTAATCTTTGATTTGTAATAAGTTTAGTGTACTTTAAAGTGCCTAAATAAGAATTTATTTTGTTTATTTATTACAGGTGCTTATATAGCGCCATCAATTTACGCAGCACTTTATATGTATATATTGTACATTCACATCAGTCCCTAACCCTCAAGGAGCGCACAACCTAAGCTCCCTAACTTACATTCATACATACTAGGGCCAATTTAGACAGGAACCAATTAACCTACCAGCATGTCTTTGGAATGTTGGAGGAAGCCGGAGTACCCGGAGGAAACCCATGCAGGCATAGGGAGAACATGCAAACTCCAGGCAGGTAGTGCTGTGGTTGGGATTTGAAACAATGACCCCATTACTGCCAAATGGAAGTGCTAACCATTTAGCCACTGTGCTGCCCTAGTTATGCCATGGCATCGCAATCAATTGTCCCTTTAATTCTCCAGTTTTCAATAACAAGTGTAGCTAGAATCTGGTTGCTTTGGCACAAAGTTTTTTCAAATTTTATTGATAAATGAGATGCTTTGTCCTCTGGGAGAATATATGTTCGGAATACAGTACTTCTCTGATCTTGTCAGAATGTAATGCAGTGTAACGGAAGGAAACCATGAGCCAGGATATACATAGCATGTTGCCTGCTTATATGATCTCTGTCAAGTCCTCACAGAACTTGTGAGAGCCAGGAAAATGACACATTGCAGACAGTCTGTAGAGGACACATCACAATACACAATGCTCCGAGACTCTGTTTGTGGATCAGCGTTGTGCACTGCCTGCGGCAACTTGAGGACAGTCTTCCAGAGAGGAAATAAAGGAACAAACTACAGGTTGCTTTGAAGATAAAACATAGGCTGTGTCATACAATAGAAGTCTGAGAAATGGAAGCACATTCTAATGGGGAGGATGGTTGGCATAGACGGTACAAGATACCAGGAATTTCCTGTCGCATGAAAGGAAAAGAAGAAACAAAAACGTGTCTTTTTTATTTGTGTTTTTGTGTGTTTCCTGCTTTGTTTGATATGCCCATTCCACTATAAAGTGTGAAATCATGATGTAATGGCTAACAAAATGGCCTGAATAGTAATGGGCTTGGGCTAATATTTGTTTTTCCACTTTTCTGTTAACGAGAACTTAGTGACAACTCACTTCATGCCAAAAAGCCATTGTTCAATTTTGTTTGTAAGTTGATAGACTGCTTATTGGTTCAGCCCACAAACAAACTGTGCAGCTGACGGATGTAGTTAAGGCCCATTTTACATGGGTGGCCGGGGGTGGGAAAAACTGTTGGTTGAGCCACAGTATTTCCACCCCTTGACTGCCCACCTAAAGTCTGCAATACAACCAGAGGGGGTTGTTGACTTGCTACGTCCAGAATTTTCTGTTGTAGCCACAAAATGTAATGCAGCATGTCAGGTTGACAGATTCACTGCCTGTCAAACTTTGACTTGTGGTTGCAAACTTTGCTATTTACCTAAATAGCAAAGACTCTGGGCTGGAAAAATACTCCTACAGTGGGTTCCTCTGCACTGCAAGGGTTTAAATACCCGTTATTTCTAGAGGGCAGAAGAAAAGGTTTTATTGCTTGCCCTATTCCCTGTTCCAGAAGACTCCAGCAATATCGTCTGCTCCCCAAAGCTCCAGGCTGTGGGCAGTACCTCGATGTCTTCACATATAATGCAGGGCTATATACCCTGCATTGTATGTGGAAGGACAAGCCACTTACTACTACCGTGACTTAGGGGGGAGGCTACAGCAGTTGCACAGGTAGAATGTAGAAATAGATAAGCATTTCTCAGTAATCTGGAATCCCTACACTAAAGAAGCACTTAACCCTTGCAATTTCGGGGTCCCCCACTGCAAGGGTATTTTTGGGGGGTTCAGTTTTCAACCAATGAACTGAACCAGTATGCAGATCTTAGGAGTCAGAGAAAAGCCCTTAGCTGCATATTTGTCTTGGATATCAACTAAACGTAAGGAAGCAGGAGGGTCACTATGATGGCTAGGCAACTAGCGTTTGCACAGGAAGTCCACACCAAACTTTTTGAGACGTCCACAATGGCAGCTTTTGTCTTTTTTTTTAAACAAAATAAATGTGATAACCTGAAAAGTATCTATAGTGAATTTTTAAATTAAAGTGAAGTGTAGAACCTCTGTCAGCTTTTTACAGCTGTTTATCCATTGGGAAGGATTTCCTTTACTTTCATGTCACCGAAACAGGAATTGGTGAAAAAAATCTTCATAAAGACATCCTAGACCACAAAAAAAACCTGAAAGCAATTCAAACCATTCCCAAGTTAAAATCATACTTTGCTCTGCCATATAGTTACTGCATCAGTCAGTGTATTTTGTGGACTCAAATCTGACATGTGTACGCTTTCATCTTCTTTCTTTCTAGGAACCAAGCACTAAACGGGTTAAACCACTTTCAAGGGTCACATCACTAGCAAATCTCATCCCTCCAGTACGGGCAACACCTTTGAAGAGATTCAGCCAATCACTTCAGGTAAATGAACTTTGGTTTTTAGGACTGCTGCCTTCTATATAATAGAATATTTTACACACAACTGCATAGTGGAATCAGCAGAAGTTCTGTGCAAATGGTCTAACATGGATCTAACCAGGGGCGGACTGACAACTCATGGGGCCCCCGGGCAAAAGGGGATCATGGGGCCCCTGTGTCCTCGCCCACACCCAAACATACCTATGAAAAAGCCAATAAAAGGTACCAGGGGCATTTCATGGGGTCCCCTACTGACCCTGGGCCCTCGGGCAGTGCTTGAATGCTTGAATGGTCAGTCCACCCCTGGATCTAACATTACAATTCAAACTTTGCATGAATCCGCAGAGCACAGATCAGGATGAATAATTGCATTGGGTATCTTTAGTTAAAGGTCAAGTGTCTAGGTTGGGGACATGCATGTATAGTATATCTATCTACATATGAAACACAGCGCAGTAAGTCTCCTGGCTGAAAGACCACAGCAAAAAAAACATTTGCAGGGTAAGCCACCTATAGAGTGTATAACTGTCATTACTGACTTAAGTACTTGAATAAGAACAGTACAGAACAATCAATGTGATGTGTGGCCAGACTGAAGACCAAGTACATGTGTGAATGTATGTGTGTGATCAGGGGTGGACTGACAACTCATGGGGCCCCCGGGCAATAGGGGATCATGAGGCCCCTGTGTCCTTGCCCAAACTCAAAAAAGCCTATGAAAAAAGTACCAGGGGCATCTCATGGGGCCCCTACTGACCCCGGGCCCTCGGGCTGTGCCCGAGTTTCCAAATGGTCAGTCCGCCCCTGTGTGTGATATATTGTATATCAACAGGTACTGCACAGGTGAACAAGAAGGACTATATAATAGCTTTATTGCACCAACAAGTTACAGTCCACCTTTTTCTTTCCCGAGGATGCCTGGGATTTGCTGATCCGGCAGTGCAATAAAGTTATTTTATCATTTTTGTATACCTGTGAAAGCCTTACACTATCTGTTGCTGCAGTCTTTTTTGTTTAAGTGTGGAGCACCAGAGCATTTATTTTGGAAGGAGTTCTGATACTGTCCAATGGTGGGTACCAAACTCCAATAAGAGCATAGGCTGCCCGGTTGCTGTACTCAAGGCAAGTAGATACAGTAGTAGTAGTGGAAGGGACACTTGCATAAACGGATTTATTGGTCTGCGTTTCGACAAGGCACTGGTCAAGAAAGACGACTAAATATCTAAAAAAAAAAAAGACAGCTATGATTTTGTTAGAGGAAAACCAGTTTTAGAATTCAGCTTGGCCCCAAGCCTTGTTCGGAGCTAGAAACCAAAAATGTTTTCTGTGAACACAAGACCTAATCCCCACTCCTAGAGTGAAAGCTTGTTAAATCTTGTGACCAAATCTTAGTGCGCCCATTCTCTGTGAATGTTTTTACATGAGGTTCTTTGTATGTGTGGGAAAAGCACCAGTATGACAGACATCCCTCTGTAATATATATTGGGGAGTTGGCGCACTGGGTGCCTCCTGTCCTCCATATGGCTATAGGACTCATACAAAGGCAGCATTTACAGACAGGGAGTTGAGTTGCTGAAGTCACCTCGGCTGTCTGTGTTTCATCCAGAACGCAGCGTATAGCGTGACTGGAACAGAAAATAGTGTACAGTCACTGGCCTGGAAAGATCCCACCTTGGCAGACGCAGCCTCCTTGAGTAACACTGGGGGACAGATGTTTAATACTTTGCAGAAGCTGCCCGTAGTGGAGAGGTCAGGGAAAATATGTCTTAGGTCTGAAAGAGAGGCTTTATTAGTTACAGTTGTGAGCACCAATGTGGAAAGTTTAAATTATGTTTTGGCTAAATTTCTAAGCTTCCCTTTTGCAGCTTAAACAGCTGTAGCCTTGTTTAAATACTTGCCTGATTGTATACTATTTCTTTCTTTTTTTTTAGCTTTATTAATCCTTGTTCTTAGTGATTTATGTGGTTTTGTCTGCTATATTTCCTTATTTTTTGTGGCTTCATGTTTATATTCCAAAAGCTGGTTAAATAGTCATTTGGCAAGGATATCACAGAATCACCATTGAACAAAATGTAGAAGCTCACAGCATATTCTCATTTAGGGACTTTGTTGGCCCTTTAGGCTCTTGCATTACATTATAAAATGTCAGGGATGGGCCAGAGCTTGTTCAGTCACTGTGGTTTTAGGTACAAGGTATCCCTGGACTCAAAAAGCTTTATTTTATAGGTTAAAAATGCTTTTATAGGTTAAAGTACTTTATAGTGGTTTCTTTTCTGGGCTACTGTCAATTTAGTGTTTTGTTGGTTTCAAAATAAAGCACTTAAACTTGGTCAGAGTAGCCTATAAACCTTACAAAGGACAGGTGTCTGTCTGTAGAATTAGTTATTATTCCAGACAGTCAAGAAACTTTTGGTAATGTATAAAATTCATATTTTGTACAAACTTATCCAAAACTATACACTGTCCCCCATCTTACATGTGACAGTCTGCTTACAGTCCTTTCTTAAAAATGAGCCTATTCATTTCTCTATTATGTAATTTTGTTCCATGTAAGGCACCATAATAAATGTAGAAATTGCCATTTACTCTCTAATATCTTGAGCAAAAATTGATGGTCATAACAATGACTCTGTGCTTGGATACTGTATGTAGTTATTTAAAGCCCAATTCCTGTCTGCATTTAAATGTACCCATGTAATGGGGTCCCCCAAGCACAGCATAGGTTAAATGGCCATTTGGCTAGGGGGAGATGAGTAAGTAGAAATACTTAGCCTTACTGCTTACTCCCACAGGCTTCCTCATCTTCAAGTGACCAGTCTTCAAAATCTGCATCTCTTCGCTGCCCCACTGGTCGCAGCCCTTTGACATCATCTTGTACAATGCAGAACCAGCAATCCTGCATTGTACAGGAAGGCAGCAAGGGCCTGCCCACAAACTGCAGCATCGGAGGAGGAGTTCAGCGGCTGCAAGAGAAGCCAAGAATAGGATAAATATGTGTACTCAACCCCCCTCATGTCAAAGAAGCATTTAATCCCTGTAGTGCAGGGGGGATCAACAACTCATGGGGCCCCTGGGCAATAGGGGATCATGGGGCCCCTGTGTCCTTGCCCAAACTCAAAAAAGCCTATGAAAAAGGTACCAGGGGAATCTCATGGGGCCCCCTACTGACCCCGGGCAGTGCCCGAGTTTCCAAATGGTCAGTCCACCCCTGGGGGGATCTCACTGCATGGGTACCAATCTTTGACAATCAGTTTGACTATATTTACCTTCATGCCCTGAACTTTTCCTACAGTCAGGACGAGTGCTGCATATGGTGATCTTCCACCTTTTGTACTGCGATACTGAATCAATTATCTAAAGTCACTGCAGATGTTGTACAGCGAACACCTTGCATATGGGAGAAGAGCTTCAAACGAGGAGAATTAGCACGCACTAATTCTAATGCAAGCATTTCAATTTTAGGGAGCATTTTGTTTCTAAAGTATCTTATTAGTAACAATGGTGAAATCTCAACTCCTGGAGCCAAATAGCTAAATTCACAGTTGAAACAGACCTATGTGAAATATACTTACCAAGGAATTTGTAATTTTGTGCAGTTATGTTTGAGAATTATACACCTCTGTGAGAGGTGATTGTAGCCGTATTAGTGCACTTGCGACAGAAACAATTGAGTACTGACGTGATCAGGGGCGGACTGACAACTCATGGGGCCCCCGGGCAATAAGGGAACATGGGGCCCCTGTGTCCTTGCCCAAACTCAAAAAAGCCTATGAAAAAGGTACCAGGGGCATCTCATGGGGCCCCCTACTGACCCCGGGCCCTCGGGCAGTGCCAGAGTTTCCAAATGGTCAGTCCACCCCTGGGGGATCTCACTGCATGGGTACATGTAAAAGCAGACCAGAATTAGCCCTTTAAATGGCCACATCCACAGTGAATTTACTGTTCTGATTTATTGCTACTTCTCACACTGACAGCCACAGTGGAAATGCGTTACTATATATGCTTCATGAATTGCTTCCCTTTAATTTGGCTTATGCAATACCATATATAGATTTTATGTGGCCTAGCTCTTTATACATCTGCCTCTGTAAAAAAAAAAAAAAAGTGACTTCCTTAGAGGATTATCCAGACCATCTTATTCCCAGTTATAAAAAGCAGGACAAAGAAAAGCGTAGGTCTGCTCTACAGTGAAAACTCTTAATTCCAGCTGTCATTTTTCTAGTGTTGGTCATAGAGTGAGAGCAGTGAAAAGCCTGCTTAGTTTGTTGAATAGACTCTTTATCAACCTATAGCCTCCTGTGTAAAACTGGTGTAGAATACAGGAAATATTTTTGCGGATGTTTATGACCGTTAAAAAGGAATCACTAAATACCACTGATTCTTTTTTTCTTTTTAAATTCTATAACCGAAGTTAAGCAGAAATGTTTAAGGGCCCATTTAGATCTATGCGTGTGTGTTGAGGGAACATTAGGCAGGTGTATTGTCATGTGTCAACTTGGAATTTCTTTAGTGCGTTGACATGGGTAATTGACACACATTTTCAATGCGTTATTCAGTTTAGGATTTGGAGTGGATAGAGTTTGCCTCCATTGAACAAGGATTGTTACCACCCATTGCCAATGAATTAAAATGTATGTTACATGCTTTTGATGCATTGTCATTGACATCTTTTGGACTCCCAGTGCACTAAAACGCGGAGAAAAACAGACTTCTTGTATTTTTTAAAACAGTCACTATTTTTATTATGTGGAAAACTGACACCTACGTTTCAGTGAACTAATTTAGTTTTTGCTAGAGCCTAATGGGTTGCATCAGGCCCTGGATTTTTTCTATATCTTCTGTATTACAGCAATAAGATCTCCCTGCCAAAATTTCCAACCCCTTTCTGTCAACTGGTACTTGTGTATTCCCACATACCTGGGGATTTTCTAGCTCTTCCTGTCCCATTCTCTATAATACAGAATAAATAAATAAATCCAACAGAGAGACTGGTAACTCCTTGAAATGACAACAGCTGGCGTGTAGACCTAGGAAATTAAGCATAGAAATGTTACCAAGAGGATCCTCTAATGCACAGATGTCAAACTGGCGGCCCTCCAGCTGTTGCCAAACTACAAGTCCCATGAGGCATTGCAAGACTGACACTTACGAACAGGACTCCCAAAGGCAGAGGCATGATGGGACTTGTAGTTTCGCAACAGCTGGAGAGCCGCCAGTTTGACACCCCTGCTCTAATGGATCTAAGTGGTTAGGTGTCCAAAAAGATGTTCAGTTTTTGGCCCTTTAACTTTTTTGTAATATTAAATTGTTATCCAAACCTTTATATTTCCCTGCATGCACTGCTTTTACCCTGAGGCTGCAGTGAGCTGCCTCGCGCCCAACTGTTGGTCACAGTCAGGGTAACTTTGTGGGGCATTTAATTCCCTACACATGAGGACCAGTGTTGCCAACCTCCTGCAGCATTTTTTAGTGACAAAATATGGAACATTTCACCAGTGGAGCACATTTTTTACTGACAACCTGAAAAATTACATTAAAAACTAAGACAATCAATATTTAAAGAGTATAAACACAATATGGAAACACTGACAATACCCATAACAGGTAATTTGACGTGTTTACACTTACCAAAGTCAGCACAGCATGACGAATTAATAGCCCCTGATATTTCCAGACATTTGTAAAAAAAAATCACTGATTTTTACAAACTGGCCATAAATTTACTGACAATTGGCAACCCTGATGAGGACAATTGTATGCAAAATGCAGAGCAGAAAAATGATCATGGGGAAAATTAAGGTAATGACATATAACAAGTTAATAAAAAGAAGCATCCCTTTCTCCTAGATTGTAAGCTCCGAGGAGCAGCGCCCTCCTATCCCTCGTGTATTAAACTGTATTGTTGCTGTATTGTCTCCCTTTATATTGTAAAGCGCTGAGCAAACTGTTGGCGCTATATACATCCTGTATAATAATAATATGTTATAGTACGATTTGTAAAAAGTGATCTTGGTGGTTTACTGTATTCCAAAGTTGTCTGCTTGTGAGTCACATGTGGGCCATTTAAACATCTGCTGTGTTGTGTTTTCTCATAACCATGACAGATTTTTTAATTTTAATATAGTAATTGAATATAATATTTTAAAAATTTAGTATTTTTTAACAGCATAGTTTATTGAGCATTTTCATTTTAGAACAGTACATAACAGTAATTAAACAACGGTACTGGCACAAAGAGGGAAGGACATAAAGGACAACAAAAGTTCTGGGACACAACTACTGCAGGCTGACATAAACATGGCAGCTGATCACATTTCAAGGTCTAAACAACCAATAGCATAAGTAGGTAATAAAACAGTGGCTATAACTATTACATTATCCATACAATAGACCATTAAGCTAACTGATAAATTTACCCCTAAAATCTCAGTGGATAAACACATAAGGGGGGTACGATATGGTAGCCCTAATCTGTCTTAATATTGACTGCATGTCATTCCGCACACAGACAGGAAGAAGAAAGGGCTAAACGAGGAGCAAATCAGGGGCTCTTCTACAGGCATGGGGAACATGCAGACAGGAGGAAAGAGCAGAGTGAGCAAAGATGATTATATTAGTGTGCTGCTGCATTGTCTAATCAGCAGGTTGTAGGTGTGGGGGTGACACCATGCTCTTCTTTACCTCTGACAGGGAACATAGTGTCACCCTTCTGACTTTATTGTCTGGCAGAATGGCTGGACAGCATTTTACTTCTTTTTGGAAAATAAGTATGTGTGTTATCAATTATTTAACTCAATTATCAAACACTTTATGTGAATACAAAAAAATCCTATTTATAATTTTTTTTCATTCTGCGTGTATGTAACATGATAATAATGTACTCCTCTTCACTTTCATTACTTTAGCGTTCTATCAGCTTCCGGGGTGATAGTCGTCCAGACCTATTTACACCGAGACCTTGGTCAAGAAATGCCCCTCCTCCTATCACAAAGCGCAGGGATAGCAAGCTGTGGAGTGAGACATTCGATGTTTGTGTTAATCAAGTGCTCACTTCCAAGGAGATCAAGCGCCAGGAGGTTTGTGTTTTACCAAATGTTTGGACTGCAAACAGATGAATCTGGCCACATGCAGTGTGATTATTCTGTGAAAACTATGGGATGTAATATACACAGCTGCGCACACTTCACATAAATTCACAGCTTCTCTTGGTAATGCAGGCTGAGACCTCTGTGGCTCTCCAGTTGTCAAGGAGCTACAAGTCCCAGCATGCCATCTAGTTGGGACATAAAACTCTTGTGATGTTTGCTTCTTCCAACATTCTTTTTTTTTTTTTTAAGGCTGTCAGTGCTACATTAATATGCAGTATAGTTTGGAACAGCAAACCTAATTTAAAAAATATAACAGATGTCTCTCAACAAGAGAAGTCAATCCTTTTATCATCCGTTTAGGGCTGGCTAGTTGACTTGGGGGCAGACAAGATAGTTGGCATAAGTGGACAAAGTATCGTAGCCTAGACCATGCCTTGGAGAGAAGTCAATTTTATTAATTGTGATATAGTGCATTAGAAGGCATATTGCCGCTTTTTATAAAGATGTTTAGACTGTGATCTCCTTAAATCTAGGGAAATAGAAATGTAGATTCAGCAAGAGTTATGCAACATTGTGCTGCTTTTTTACTGATAACTATGCTATGATTAAATCACAACATGCCTTGTGTTTAAAGCACCACAACCATGTTGAGAGACCACATGCTTTCCCAGAAAAGAATATTCGCATTATTGGTTAATTGCAGTCCTGCTGAGCACCGCCTGTAGAGAGTAAAGACAAGATGCCAAATAAAAGGAAACGTGGCCATTTTCTCTCCTTGGGACAGTGACTCTATCCCAGCACACATGTTAAATGCTTCATAAGTTTTAATACGTTTGGCATTTGCCAGGACCTGGAGGTGGTGAAGGTATCTGAGACCTTTTTGCACTTTGATCTTGCATGTTGGACTTTAAAAGATCCTGATTAACCCTTTATTTTTGGGGTGGGACATATGAGAAGGACGAGGCAGGTTTATGACCATTGAGTGAGATAGCACCTGTAGCCCACACAACACGAAAATCCTTATAGAGATTTTCAAAGATCACAGTAAGGTTGGAGGTTTTGTACAGTAACAGCTATATCAGTCAGTTTGAAGACAAATATAATCAAAAGGATTGAAGTAGTCAAGCATATCAACACAAGAAAGTAAGAGCAATACTACACAAAACTCAAAATACAAAATATAACAAATCAATAGAAAAAAACTTTAAAAGTGGGAATAGTAGTTTTATACCAGTAGCTAAAGGTGGCACAAGTTTACAGCCTTAATCAAGGGCCTACTAAATATTCCCAGAATTATACATTGAATGCCTCATACATCAATAACAACATATAAGATAAAGATGAAGTATCCTATATAACAATACAATATCTTAGGAAGGTATTCCATCCATCTATTAGTTCCCCAGGTTTCACCTGCTTCTACAGGACAAGGGAACCCCAAAGATTAAGTGCTGTTTTTCACAAGTGTCCTCACAATATAGACGTGTACAAAAATACTAGCAGTGTCCACAACAATCATGATATATATCGGTAATCCATGTGGTACATGTGCAAACCACTTCGCCATCCCAGTGTTTAAGGCACCTTAATCACTGAGAAGAGGTGTCTCCAGGAAAAGAAGCCCTACACAAGGGACTATTCTCTTCTGGAAAAAGTCCACCAGGCTGAGAGGAGATCCATCAACCACATTACATTAAAGATATCCCAAACCAGTCAGTTATCAGAACATTTGGCTTGCCATGAGCTATGTTGTTACAGTGCGTAGTATTTGATTATACCATATGTAAGTAGTTTAGCACCAAAGTTTGCTCTCGCATCGCATTCATGACTAATCATGATGTTTTCTTCAATTTATTTTTACAGGCTATTTTTGAGTTATCCCAAGGAGAGGAAGACCTAATAGAAGACTTGAAGCTGGCAAAAAAGGTAGGCTAGCAATGGCTGATGTAAGCAATAAGGACGAGAAGGAAAGAGAGGTGCTGTTTTATTCTGCACAATATAGAATATGGATGTATAGCAGTTGTATCCTCTGAACAGTCTGCAGTTACGCTAAAGCATTTTGTTTCCTAAATTTGGCCTCAAGACCTCTGAGCAGTTGTACCCTTCAGAAAATACATCTGCTTTTGGGCCTGCCAGGTTATATAGCTCAGTCATAACACCCCCACTGTATGCTTACATTTCATTTGAACAGGATAAAAGGATAATCTGTCTTTCCTTCACATACTCATTTTCTGTGCTGTTATCTACCGTGTGAGCTTCTGGTAGGTTTGTTGAAAGAGAACAGCTTGTACTGAGTTTTTTTTTTTAATGACTGAACAGGACCACTGAAGGTCATTGTGTGAGATATGAGCAGGCTTTTGTTTCTGGATAATTGAAGACTAGACTCTATCCATTTTATGTTCTCTCAGGCATATCATGACCCAATGCTGAAACTCTCTATAATGACAGAAGAAGAGTTGATGCAAATCTTTGGCACCCTGGACTCTCTTATTCCCCTCCATGAAGGTATAAGCATTACTCCATCTCTTGTGATTGAAAGGTTACCACATTCAGAGAAATAGTTGGCTAATATGTGTCTATGTGTTTACAGATCTCCTGCAACGCCTACGTGATGTCAGGAAACCAGATGGATCCACAGAACACGTTGGGCACATCTTAGTAGGTTGGGTAAGTTATGATTTGCATTTTTACATCATCCATTTCTTTAGGATGAGGGGGGGGGGGGGGTTGTTGGAGGGAGACATATGGCAACGTAAAACACAGCTCCTCAAAATGGCCATAACAAATGGATGGAGTCGAGGACTGCAGTGCTGCTGCTGAATTAAACCCTTAAAGCTGATTTCCATGTTCCTTTCACTTTTTGCTTAGAGCCAGTCCAGCTGATGACCGGAAACATGGAAATAAGCTTTAAGTAGTTTTCAGTGGACTAACTTTCTATAGAAGCTTAACGGTATTAAAACGGTAAAAAAAAATTATATATTAGATTGCATGTATTTGGAGACTTTTTGTATGAGCTGCAGCAATATCTGTGCTGGTTGGACACCAGTTTAGAGCAAGTGTTCAACTTTGTAATTACAGCATTTATTCAATGAAAGTGGGTTTGGAATAACCTGCTTTGCAAGAGAGTTATCTGACCTGCCTTTGGGGATCAGAAAGGATTATATTTTTGTTAAAGTAAATTAAAGTATGCTTTTTGCCTGAGTAAAATAAAAACAACTTTATTTCATAATTTTTAGTTAATATATGTGAAGAGGCTAGTTTTAGATCTAAAGACAGACAGAACCTCAGATCTGCTACAGTCCGGATAAATTCTGGAACTTTATTGCAACTGTACCAAATGAAACCAAAAACTAACACAGATATTGTACTATATTAATAGCTCTTTATGTTTTACAAATTTTGTGTGACTACATTCTCCTCTAAGGCCTCATTCACATGGGCATAAAGGACAGGCATTTGCTTTGGGTTATTGAAGCTATTGATTGGGCGCCCAAACGTTTGATGACATTGTTTAACTTGCAAAGCAATCATAGACATAAAATGGTGGGTTTGATTGATGGCAAAAAGATGAAATTGGCAGAAATTGGTTGAAATTGCGTACGACCAGTATAAGACTCACCAAATACTGCCGTTATGTCTGAAGAATTAAAGAAGTCAGGTCAATGGGTTTGATGAGAGAGACTGTGGCAAGTATGGCTTGTACCCCCAGAATCAAGCCTTTGTTCCAAAGTTGCTTTTTGCTGACTGACTGTAGAGTATCATTTCTCCAAAAGAAGTCAAAGGGAAATCTCTAACAGCTGGACCGATAGGCACCCTAAAGTGTTTGGTGTACTAGTATATCTTGGTGATAAACTGCATTTTGGATTCTTCATGTGTATGACATGTACATTTTAAGTTGCTGTAGAAATAGATACAATATCATCGTTTCTATTTACAGCAAAAATTGTGTGATCTCTGCAAAAGGAACTATATGGTTGATGTGTGCCTCCAGTTTCTATTTTGTGAGATATACTGCCATTTGGAAATTCCTGTGTTTTGCAGGTGATTTCCATTCAGCTCATTAAAAAAAAGAGAACTTTAGTAATTATTAGAAAACAGTGCTAGAATATCTACCCACTATAGGATGTTTCCAGTGAATTAGGAAGTGAAATTCTTGTTTCTCCATTACTTAGGGAAATACAGATGTAATATGTTTTCTTTTCACTGTCTAAGCTGGATGAAGATGAGTTATCACCAGTTTTACCATAAGCTCCTTAGTAATGATTACATGAAAATCATGACTCATTGCCAAGGCTGTGTTTACTAGCAGAAAGCCTACCAAATGTACTTTAGATTCAAGGAATTGCTGTGATTAATATGTATATCACCATAAGAGAATTCCAAGGGGGGCTCTTAGATCTTTTGCTTTTCTTTAAATACATTGCCTAATATGAAAGATCTAATCTAATTTATGACTGTATAAAGGAGAGGACACGAGGCAAACTTAATTTCTTTTTTTTTTTAATGAACAGCAGCGAAACAGAAAAGGATGATGTTAAATCCGTAAATACAGCCAGTTATCACTTTACCTCCTTCCTGAAAGTGTAAGGGCCTGCTCATATGTAGATGAGGACCCACCATCCTGAAAAAGGTTGTGTTTCCATAGCTACAACAGAAAGTGAAGGAAATCCCTGGTTGTCTCCAGAGAGACAGAACTAGGTGTTTTCTTTAGAAAATCTCCACTGTATTCCTGTTCTGTCTGCTGGCAATTCAAAATTTGGGATCTTCTTTCACTCCCCCCGTAGAAATTGTCAGGACAAATAGAGCAAATCTGCCTTACCGGGACACAGACAGCAATATAAATCTGACCAGTGTTCTAACCCATGTCCATGCTAACCCGAACTAAAAAATTTTAAATAAGATATATTTCTGTTGCATCAGTAGAGCAACTTATTTCTGTTTTAAATCAGGAAAATTGGTGATGGTTCGAGACCAGAGGACCCCATATACAGTATATGTGTCCTGTTGGGGAGATTTCACTTCCTATCCTGGATATGCAATAGGAAATTAGAAGAATTTTTTTTCAAAGTGATGAGAGTTCCTATCTTAGACAGCTGCGAATGGAACATTTGTCCCCACTGGAAAATTTCCCCTGGCCTTTTGCTCTGGAGACTACTTTACATTTTTTAGATTTTCCACAATTTTGACAATGATCAGGATACTAGAGAAGGGACTCTTCCCCAGTGGGTAGAAAAATAGCAATAACAACCTGACAGAATATTTAACTCTCCCCCACTCAAAAATCAAAGTTTTGTTATACTTTACTTCCAATAGGCTCCCATACTTGTTTGTGAATGTTTTAATAACTTTGCTTTACTGTTAAACTAGTATGTGATTTGGATTTTCTAACTCTATCAAGAAGGTATTTTTACTTGGAAAAAGAAGAAAACAAAAAGTCACAGCTTAATTTCCTTAACAGACCGAAACCCCCAGCTCATTAGGTGTATCCATCTATGTGCACCAGCGAGATGCAGCAGGAAACTGGCTGGTGTTGATGATTTTTAAGATAATGAAGTGGTTAGTAATTAAACAGAGTGAGTGTTAAGATTGTAGTGGCTGCAGCTTTGTATTTCCATTGTAGTAAGAAGCAATGGCTGTCATCTGCTTTTCCTCTTTGCCTATGTAGGGCGGTCTAACTTGCTCGACAAGGTAAGACTACATTGTATTCCCCAAATTGTTAGCAGGAAATTGATGCACCCAGCTCAGGCTCCTACATAGGAGAGCTTCATTATCACGGCAATATTCAGAATGAAGCTGCTGAATATGGGGAATGATAGATTAGAGTGTTAGGAGATCTAAATCTATGCATTACCTTTTCTCATGCTTTTTCCCCCTGTAATAAGCAGAAGCAATTATCAGGTCTTTACATTCAGGAAGTCTTGCTTTCATTCCTCAAGGCACCTTTTAATTAACATTTAAATAGGAAACCTGAATCACAGGTGCTGACAGCATTTCCCTGAATTCTGTTTAAAACTAGAGTCATATATTTAGTCAATCGTTTCTATTACACTTTAAATAAACAGAAAACCTAACAAAAGTGTGCAATTTAGAAAAGAAAAACAAATTTTCATTTTACTGCCATTGTAGAGTAACACACAGGAAGTTTGAGGAGAAAAAAAGTTATGTAAATAATATTCATATACATCGGATACAAGGCTATAAGATATGAGACAAATACTGTAGGTATAGTCCATATGTGCCTAGAGATTTTATTCTTTCTAGAGGTTTGTGATGCTAAAGACTGGCCGACATCCAGAAGTCCATGGGGTAATGTAATGCACAGGGGCGGACTGACAACTCATGGGGCCCCCGGGCAATGGGGGATCATGGGGCCCCTGTGTCCTTGCCCAAACTCAAAAAAGCCTATGAAAAAGGTACCAGGGGCATCTCATGGGGCCCCCTACTGACCCCGGGCCCTCGGGCAGTGCCAGAGTTTCCAAATGGTCAGTCCGCCCCTGGTAATGCATATGCATTAAATTACCCTATGGTAACAGCCATTGCTACAATGGAAATACAAAGCAGCACCCACTACAATCTTAACACCCAAAAAGCATGAGAAAAGGTAATGCATAGATTTAGATCTCCTAACACTCTAATCTATCATTCCCCATATTCAGCAGCTTCATTCTGAATCCTGCCGTGATAATGAAGCTCTCCTATGTAGGAGCCTGAGCTGGGTGCATCAATTTCCTGATAACAATTTGGGGAATACAATGTAGTCTTACCTTGTTGAGCAAGTTAGACCGCCCTACATAGGCAAAGAGGAATAGATGAAAGCCATTGCTTCTTACTACAATGGAAATACAAAGCTGCAGCCACTACAATCTTAACACCCGCTCTGTTTAATTACTACCCACTTTATTATCTTAAAAATCATCACCACCAAGCCGATTTCCTGCTGCACCTCGCTGGTGCACATAGATGGATATGCCTGATGAGCTGGGGGTTTCGGTCTGTTAAGGAAATTAATCTGTCTGTGATTTTTTTGTTTTCTTCTGTCTTTTTCCGAGTAAAAGTACATTCTTCGTACCTATAGGCCAAAATTTTAAGAAATTGCAGTTTACCAGTTCCATATATGACCAATTCATTAGTTTTTTGGGGGGTTTTTTTTCCCGGCTAAAAACATTATTTGCAAGTACAGAAAATACCTGTTGATCTTCCCCAGAATGCATTGTTCTTGTCACTTATCCCTATCTTTGTTGTATAAACTATTATTCCCATCTATTATGTAATGGAGATGAACAAAGGTAGACATGTGGCACAGTTGTGTACATACCCAACCTGTCTGTTTGTATGTACTGTATGTGGGTGCATGGCTTTTAAATTTTGAGGCGGGGAGTGTTCACTTATTAACTTAACTTTAATTTTGAAACACTCTACAGTCACTCAAATAATTTCTACTACATGACCTGCAGCCATGGCTAAGGAGATAGACAAACTCCTGACTGCTATAGCAGCTAAGAGTTTGATTCCATACCGATGTTGTGAAGCTGCTACTGCTGTGAGAGGGTAAATCTAAGCTGGGAAAAGTAAAACTCCAGACTAATATAAAAGACACAAATTAATGCATCTCCGTTTTTATTAATACATTTTTTTTATATAAATACAAGCAGTGTAAGTACCTGCATATGACATGGTTTCGGTCTCTTGCAATCCCTTGAACAGCAGAGATCATATAGGTGGTAGGGAGAAGAGGCAGAAGGAGCAAGATAGTTCTGCAACAGTGCTTGTTTGATAATATGGGGCATGCTGATAGGTTGTGCTGCAGGTCTGATTTAAGAACAGGGGACACGCCAATAGGAGGAGAGGGCAGAGAGAGGAGCTCATCAATCTGCTGCTTATCCTTCTCTGTCCAGTCATAGGCTGAGGGAAGGTCAAGACCTGCAAGTGTGGCTTAAATGCAGCAGCAAAAATTCAGGCGTGTGGCAGAGCTGCATGCATTTCAGGGTTGGGTGGACAGAAATACAAATCCTTTGGTTGATATAAAAACACGGGCAAATAAATTACATATTTTCCAAGTGCCATATGTATGCATTTGCTGCTACCAGAGCTTCTTAACCTGGGTGCTATTGCACCCTGGGCTGCCATCTGGGTTCTCCTGGGGTGCCGCAAGCATTGGATTCAGTTTTGTACCATGGCAAATCATGATGTTGATCCAGGGCAAACGGGTCTCTGATTTGATTAGGAGATCTCTGATGTGAAAAGAAGTTCTGATGTACAGTGGGGAAAATAATTATTTGATCCCCTGCAGATTTTGTAAGTTTGCCCACTTACAAAGAAATGAAGGGTCTATAATTTTTATATTGTAGGTGTATTTTAAATGATAGAGACAAAATCAACCAAAAATCCAGAAAAAACACATGATGCAAATGTTATAAATGGAGTTGCAGTTCAGTGAGTAAAATAAGTATTTGATCCCCAAGCAAAACATGACTTAATGCTTGGTGGAGAAACCCTTGCTGGCAAGCACAGAGGTAAGACGTTACTTGTAGTTGGTTACCAGTTTTGCACACATCTCAGGAGGGATTTTGGTCCACTCTACTTTACAGGTCTTCTCTAAATTCTTAGTTTCTTGGGTGTTGCTTGGCAACCAAAGTGTCAGCTCCCTCCTTAAATTTTCTATAGGATTAAGGTCTGGAGACTGGCTAGGACACTCTGACCTTAATGTGCTTCTTCTTGAGCCACTCCTTTGTTGCCTTGGCAGTATGTTTTGGGTAATTGTCATGCTGGAAGACCCATCCACAACCTATCTTCAGTGTTCTGGCTGAGGGAAGAAGGTTCTCATCCAAGATCCTAGCAATACTAGTTCAATGATATTATATTTTTTGATAGCCTTTAGATAACCTGAACAGGGTGTGCTTTTTTGCCTTTTATTTTCACTTCTGCAGACCATATTAGACGCATCACGCAAACTCTTTCTAAATAAGCACTTTGAGTTTGACCGCTAAGAAAGGATTATCAGAAAGCGGCATCGGGCATTGGATGTGTGCATAATACTGTGTCGACTTAGCAGGAGTTATTTTAGCTCATTTGTTAGAACTCAATAGGCTGTCAGGCTGGGTTTGTTAGGCTCCTGTTACTACTGGTTGTGAAAGGATGGGAGTGTCAGGCCGAGTCTTTGATTTAGTGGTGGTGACATTGTGTTTACTGTCTGTCAATGATGAAACATGTCAGGGGTATTATCATTTGGATGGAAGGAAGACAAAGGAAGCCTGAAAATTACCAGCAGCCCTATTCTTCCATGACTCTCTGCTAGTGGTTCCCTTTGATCTTCATGACCCCTCATCACATCTAAAATGGTTTCTTGAAGTTTATAAATTAGACACAACAGTGCTTTATGGGATACGGTTATGAGCATTTAGTGTGTGTTAACCAGCTATTTTTTTTCACTTTATTCTCAGTATCCAATTAACTGCTAATTACATTTCACTTTATCTTATATCTTCATCAAAGTTGATAATGTAAGATGACATAAAAACAATATTAAAGGCAGTTGAGTATTCCTTAAAAAAAATAATTAGAGGAATTGAATTTACTCCATAAAAATTGTTCGAAAGGAGAGTTTTTTTGGTAAAAGATACTGTATGTTCTGTCATAAAGCCTTTACCCTCCTGCTATCAAATGTTTAAACATTGTACAGTAACTGTAGTGTATGCACAGCGCATAAATGGCAAGAGCCTTGAGGGCCCACACGAGATACAGCTTGCTTTAATTGTGTTAATATATTCAACTAACCTCTGAATCTGTAATGACATCAGCGTCTGTCATTCTTTATATAGCAGTACACAACACTTGGTAAGGGAGTGTCCGCACTTGGGGCCACACTCTACAGCATGCACTTGGGGTCAGTCATACTCTGCAGCATGCACATGTGCCAGCTGGAGACATGCGAGAGATGATCAGTTTGTTACCGCTCCTTCATTGTGCAATCAGGCTGCAGGCAGGGAGGTGACACCAGTTTTCCTTACGTCTAAAACTGGCCATATACGTAATTGATTTTTTTTTTCTATTCGGCCTGCAGAAAAAAAAATCAAAACTATTCTGCTATCCACACTACACATCACAGATGGATGAATCTCCTCCTGCAGCTATCTAGTTTGCTAGCTATCAAAATACCCAAACAGTGCCTGCATCGGATTGGATGCAGGTGCTGTTCAGCTGGCAATTTTTGATAGTGGGTGCCCAACTGATCAAATTTTGGATGGTTCAAAGAGAAATTGTAGTCACCATTCTGGCTGCACTTTCTCACAGAGGTGTACAGAAACAATTGAGTACTGACGTGATACTTTTTTTTATTTGCACTAACATACAATTTTGAGTTCAAGCTTTCGGGGTATGTCCCCTTCTTCAAGGTCCAGGCAGTACTATTTCAAAAACTTTGTGAAATAGTACTGCCTGGACCTTGAAGAAGGGGACATACCCCAAAAGCTTGTTCACAAAATTGTATGTTAGTGCAAATAAAAAAAGTATCATGTCCAGGGGCGGACTGACCATTTGGAAACTCGGGCACTGCCCGAGGGCCCGGGGTCAGTAGGGGGCCCCATGAGATGCCCCTGTTACCTTTTTATAGGCTTTTTTGAGTTTGGGCAAGGACACAGGGGCCCCATGATACCCTATTGCCTGGGGGCCCCATGAGTTGTCAGTCCGCCCCTGATCACGTCAGTACTCAATTGTTTCTATCGCAAGTGTACTAATATGGCTACAATCACCTCTCACAGAGGTGTATAATTCTCAAACATAACTGCACAAAATTACAAATTCCTTGGTAAGTATGATATTTTACATAGGTCTGTTTCAACTGTGAATTTAGCTATTTGGCTCCAGGAGTTGAGATTTCACCATTTTTACTAATAAGATACTTTAGAAACAAAATGCTCCCTAAAATTGAAATGCTTGCATTAGAATTAGTGTGTGCTAATTCTCCTCGTTTAAAGCTCTTCTCCCATATGCAAGGTGTTCGCTGTACAACATCTGCAGCGACTTTAAATAATTGATTCAGTATCGCAGTACAAAAGGTGGAAGATCACCATATGCAGCATTCATCCTGACTGTAGGAAAAGTTCAGGGCATGTAGTCAGACTGATTGTCAAAGATTGGTATCTGTCTTTCTGTCATCAACATAAACAGACCCCTATTATGGTTCAGTAAAAAAATCACCAATCCTGCCAGGAGGCTAAATGATGAAACCTAATCCAACTGATACACTTGTTGATTTAGACTGGACATTTGTCATGTCACATGAGGTCATGGATCTCTCAGCGAATGTCGAACATTAGTGTTAGTGTCTTTTCCCTTGTCAGTGCATTGCAAAACAATTGGTAGTTTGGTTATTGCCAGTTAGGTTGTTGCAATGGTATTCCTAACAATTTAGAGTAAAATATTATTTTCATATTTTAAATATCTAGTTTACTTCCTAGTGAAATTCATGGAACCTAGTATATATCACTCTTGAAAAGTTAGACTTTTTTTTTTAATATTTATTTGAAATCTTTGTTCTACAAAATATAAAATAATTCAGGATGCACTGTTTGCACTAATGGCATACATATATCAATGGGTTTTCTAAAGAGAGAGAGCAACAGTATCTGTTTGCTTTAAAGTGGTAGTAAACTTGTCTATAAGAATAATTTAAAAAAATTAAAAATTCTCCCTGCAAGTTAAGAGCATAATGTGCTAGTATGTGATGCATACTGGTACATTCTAAAGCGCCTTTAAATGAAGCCCTCCAGCGGTGCACTGTCACCGTTGACAAGGCTTCCATCTTCACTCAGACTTCTTTCTGGATTCACGAGCTCTGGCCTTTTGATTTGCCAGGCCTTGATGATGTCACGGCCGCAACACAGAGCTCTGAAGGAACAGCATGAATATGCCGTCCCTTTGGAGTGCGTGTGCCAGGCTACAGAAATGGTAAATATCTCCTAAACCGTGCAGTTTGGAAATATTCCTTGTACCTACAGGTTTAGTATAAGCTTACCTGTAGGTACAAGTGTCAAAGCAGTGTTTACTTCCGCTTTAAGATTGTCTTTACATAATTTAATGTCCATAAGTAGCTATAGTGCAGTGGACAGTGGAAGGAATCGATCCTTTGGATCATTAAGCCCTGTGTGTTATAACTTCAGCTTGAGGTGCTGAACATTGTAAACACCAGTTTTTTTTCTGTAAAGCATAGGGATTTGCTATGCAGCAGCAATGATTTTTTTATTTCTAATTTGCTGTCAGTTAAACATTGTTGAAATTATATTTTATGATACTATATAACGTGATTTTATCTTTCTCCACAGTTGCCCTGTTTAAACTCCTATGACAGCTATTGCAGTAACCAGGTGGCAGCAAAAGCCCTTCTGGACTACAAGAAACAGGACCACAGAGTACAGGACTTCCTGCAGCGCTGCTTAGAGTCACCTTTTAGCCGGAAATTAGACTTATGGAATTTCTTGGATATACCCAGGAGTCGACTAGTGAAATACCACTTGTTACTGAAAGAAATTCTCAGGCATACCCCGAATGACCACCCCGACCAGCAACACCTGGAGGAAGCTGTAAGTAAAAGTCTTTTTTTAAATGTTAAGTAGGGGGATGCTCGGACCTCTGCCAGCTTTCTATTATTGTATGTTTCCCTGGTGAAAATTTAACCTAACATCCTGTCTGGTAACAAGGCCTTGGATAGCAGTAAAATCTGACATGGGTTCTAACCTTTCCTCATTCTATCCAAAACATAGAAAAGATCAGCCATAACTTTATGACCTAATATTGAGTAGGTCCCCCTTTTGTTGCCAAAACAGCCCTGACTCATCAAGGCATGGATGCTACTAGACCTTTGAAGGTATGCTGTGGTATCTGGCACCAAGCCGTCAGTAGCAGATTTGTTAAGTTCTGTAAGTTGCGAGGTGGGGCCTCTATGGATGGGATTTGTTTTTCCAGCTCATTCCACAGATGCTCAATTAGACTTAGCTCTGGAGAATTTGGAGACCAAGTGAACACCTCGAGCTTGTTGCATTGCCTAATCCATTCTTCAGCCATTTTTTGCAGTGTGGCAAGGTGCATTATCCTGCTGCAAGAGGCCACTGCCATCAGGAACCCCGCTTCCATAAAGGGGCGTACTTGCTCACCAACAATGTTTTGGGTAGGTGGTATGTGTCAAGGAACACCTGCATGAACGACAGGGTCTCAAAGCTTCACACTGCTTCCACCAGCTTAGTGACACACACGCTCCCAGCCATCCACATGATGTAAAAGAAAACATGATTCATCAGACCAGGCCACCTTTTTCTATTGCTCTGTGGTTTGGTTCTGCTGCTCATGTGCCCATTGTAAGCAATCTTGGCTGTGGACATGAGTCAGTATGGGACTGATCTGTGGCTACGCAGCCCCGTACAAAACCAACTGTGATGCCACTTTTTTTTCCTTTCAACATATCACCTTCATGGATAAGATGTTTTCTTGCTGCTTAACGTATCTGCCATTGTATGAGAAAATCGGTGTTATTCTCATTTCAGTGGTCATAAAGTCTGAATGGTGTATGTGTATATATATATATTAATTTACCTTTCTGTCCTTATGTTATGCTAAAGCTGGCTATGCATTAGACATTAGTATGAACATTTGTACAAAAATTCTAATCAGCACATTAGATGACTTGACGAATGTTGTTCAAATACTTCAAAATGTAACATGCTTTTAACATTCGATTTTGGACCACATTCACTGTTAGAAATTTGTTCCTTCCCACTCTTTTGAATTTTCTCATCACTATGTCCCAGAAATTAAAGTTTTCTAATAAGATGTTCCTATTGTATGGTCAGTGTAAGACAAATCTTTCTGCCAGCTGTAAAAAAAAAAACCCTCAGTTTTAAAATGGTGAAATTGTTTTCCAACAAAACGTATTGGAGTTTTAGCAAAAGCATTGTTTGTGACATAGACAAATTGCTAAGGGAGACAGTCATGTGGCTGGCTTGCTTGATTGATCTAGAAGCTTTAAACCCCTTGAGCCCAGCCTACGGCCCAGGGGCCACATGCAGTCCTTTGGCACATTTTGTGCAACTCTCAGGGTCCCTGCAGACACTAATTTGTGTTACCCTTTTGCCCTGTTATTGTAGTGATTTGTAGCAGCCTCATGTAATATGTCTCAAGTCTATGACTGTCTCCTGAAGCTTGCCTCCAGTTTCCAACCACTCCCTATAGTCTTTGACAGTTTCCTGCAGCATGTATACAGTTTCTGACCATCTCTTGTGTTATGTCCATAGTATCTGATTATCTCTTATATCATTTCTGCAGTCTCTGATCATCTCATGTACCATGCCTATAGTCTTTGACTATATCCTATTGTGTTTGTGCTGATATTGAATATTTATTGAATTTTATGTGCTGCCCTTAGGTGATGCCAGGGGCCACACTTGAGGCCCCTCATATCAAGAAAGTTGGCCACCATGCTTTACACTAACACTCTTTCCTGCAGAAACCTGCATTTTGAAATAATGTACTTATCCTTAGGGAAAGTGAGTGTACGATATCTGCAGAACAGAAAACCGTTTGCTAAAAATCTGTGATATGCAGTATGTTGGCACAGAGTTCCTTGGCTCTATTACACTCTATGTCCTTATATAAAAGACAGGATGAACCATGCCAGGGTGTGTGAAGACTAAGTTCCCCTGCAATGGTTGATCCTAAGTTCCCCTGCAATGTTGACATGTATTGTATGGGTGCACACCCATACAATGAGTTACAATTATCCCTTGCTTTGCATAATTAAAAATATTTCTATATATACAGTATATATGATTACTGTAGATGTTCTACAGACGTGTACACTTGTTCAGACATCCTGTACCCTTCATGGGCATTTGATCCATGGTACAGTAAAACAAACGGTCCTTTGCTTGACCTATTTGATAAATATGGTGTTAGTTTCTAGTTGGACAGGAGTTTGCTAAACACTTCTGGTGTATTTACATTTCGAAAGAGCCTTCTCTAATAATGTTCTCAGAGGATGTATGGCTTTTGCTCAAAAAAATTCAACATAGTCCTTAAAGAGTTTTTTTTTACCTTCTGTTGTCAGAATATTTGATTGCTAGACCTACTGAGTTCCATGGAAAGTTAAATTCAGTAGAAAACGAATTAACAAAGCCCTTAAATAATGCAATAACTTCTGTTTGGTTCTCTGCTATTTTTGGTATGATCTTAATGGAAATTTCACATAGAGATGATGCTATCATCCTTCATTCTTTCTTCTTAAATATTATATGTACAGAATCAGAGTAGGTTTAATTGATGATCTTTTTGCTCTTTTGCAGATTAATATAGTTCAGGGAATCGTTACTGAAATTAATGTAAAGACGGGGGAGTCGGAATGTCACTATTACAAGGAAAGGCTGATTTATCTTGATGAGTGTCAAAAGGATCCGCTGATTGATAATTCCCGAGCACTGAGCTGTCATGGAGAGCTGAAGAACAACAGAGGAGCAGTAAGTATGCGATTTAATAATGGCACTTTGATCTTTTCAGTACATATTGTAACAATGTTATTTGGTTACCCTCAGGCTTAGAAACTATTTAAAAATATTAGCACAGAAAAAATACAAACGGTTGTGATAAACAACCGTTTGCAGTTTAGTACAATCTCACTAATGAAGGCCAATCTGTGATTGGACCCTGTGAGCTGCAATGTCATTAGCTAGTGCTTAGGTGATTAGTAGTCATTCTGTGTCATTATTAATGTTTTGCCCACTATTTGGAAGTGGTCACATGAACCAAAGGCCCGTCTCCCAGCTTTTAGAACCCTGAAAGGGCTGGGAAGTGGCTGGCGCCAAAGGGTTAATCACAGAGAAAATAACAAGCATATCTACATAGTGAGGTATGTATTGCACAAATATATTGTATATGGGGGCTATACTAAATGTAATGCAAAAGTGAGCATAACTTTTATTTATTTATTCTATTAGTTTACATAGGTTGGTAGAAAAACTCTTCCTGTATAGTAACTTTTTTTTTTTTTCTCTTCATTGCAGGTAAATAATGGATTGCAAGCAGAAACAATGTGCCAGTCATTGAGTTCCATTTGCTGACAATTTGTGCCATTGGTTGCAGTTTATGGCCTCCCACTGCATGGTTTGTCTTCAATGCTGGTTTCCCCTTTAAATTTCTTCATCTGTGCCCATGGCTCCTGTAAATGGTGTCATCTTCTGTAAACATTCTATAGCCTTCTGTGGATACCTGACAGCCTTCATCAAGATCTCAATCCCTCCTTCATCAAGATCTCAATGACTGCATGTTGCTTCTGCTAGGAATCCAGTATTTACCTGCAATGAAAAAGAAGCAGTGTTCCTATAGAGGAAGTGTTACCCTACTAATATGTTAAATGTGAAGGACCTATGTAAGTTAATAAAAAAAAGTTATACCTACTTTGGAATTACTTTTGTTATAGCCGTGGTATAAATTCCCTGTATCATATGACTGTCAAGTAATATCTAAAGTTGCTTCTTATGTAAATCATCTGATGGCAGTTTTGCTTTTATTTGGCTGCATTTTGTAAATGTTAGTGACCGCTAAAGGTCATGTGCTTCATGTTAAATGCACAACTCTTTTATGTCATAGCCTTAAACAAGGTCATGAAAAAAAAAACTTTCTTCTATCAACATCACGCACATCAAACATCTTAAACTTCCACCCCCAACCTTCTATAATGACCTTTCAACAACAGCATGGTTTGACATCAGACAGAAGAAAAGCACTTTGATCACTGGCTTTGTTACTCCTGATCTGCGCCTCTGATTGTCTTGTTTGTGCTTATAACAAGATTATTGACAAGAAATATGTTCCATGTATTTCTGCTCCCAATGTTTGATTTGCACATGTAAGGCGTATACTTGCTGTACTTCAATAAGTGGAAACGTGGATGTTTTGCGAGATATCGGGTTTCCCCACTAGTGATGTTTCATTTATTTTCTTAATTCTGTAACATAGTTTGTGCTTGAGTTGGACATTGAATAAAATTAATTTGTGTCCCACTTCACTTTTACTAAATTATTTTTGGTCACCTATTAGTGTAAGGCAAAGTTGTTGTTCGTTTGTGTCATACTAGGAGAAAGTGATGCTACGATCATACTTTGTCTGTATTTGTATGCTTAGAAAGATGTTGTTGAGAACTCGAAGAAGCCTATGAAATAAAATAGTTTGTATTTAAAGTGTGATATTGAGGTACAGAAATTATGATGGAAGCAAAAGTTTCACTTCAACGCTAGTCACATTCGCTAATATTCACATTTTCGGGGAAGCTATGTTTTAATTACAAGTTGCTCTGGTTGAAGCTCACACAGGGCACCCACCACTGAATCATAGGAGGAGAGGGAGTGAGTCGGTTTGCTTTCCACACCTGAAAATACCAAGTACTTCTCTTCCCGTAATGCGGCCAAATGAAGCACTGGGAGAATAAAGGGGAAGCGAGTGTAACCAAATGGAGAGGGGCAGTACTTAAAGTGAACCTGTTTCTCTGCTCTGTATGAGCAAACTCATAGGTTTACATATAAGTCACTGATTTTAAAGGACCTCAGCACTGTATTGCCCTACCGTATATACTCGAGTATAAGCCGAGTTTTTCAGCACATTTTTTGTGCTGAAAAACGGCCCCTCGGCTTATACTCGAGTCAAATAGTGGGGCGCGCCCCCCAGGGGGGGCGCGAGGCTCCGTCAAGGGGGGCGCGTACAGGGGTGGACAGAGGGCTGCTGTCTCTTACCTGGCTCCCACGGTGATCCATCCAGGAAGCGCTGCTCCTTCCGTCACTCCGGCCACTCCCTCACTCCTGCCGCTCGGCTCCGCCTCCTCACCGGTGATTGGCCGCCAGAACTGTAGCTCAGGAAAGGTACACAGGCGGCCAATCACGGGCGAGGAGGCGGAGCCGAGTGGATCCACGAAAATCGAGTGAGGGAAAAGCCGGTAAGTGTGCAGTGCAGAGGTGCTGCTGCAACCACATATGCTGGCTGCAGCAGCACCATACTGCAACAGGGGTCAGCAAGTGTAATTGGTGTCAGTGGGAGGAATAGTGCCGCATCATTGGTGTCACTGATACTAATGATGGGGCATTATTCCTCCCACTGACACCAACGATGGGGCACTATTCCTCCCACTGATACTAATGATGGGGCATTATTCCTCCCACTGACACCAATGATGGGGCACTATTCCTCCCACTGATACTAATGATGGGGCACTATTCCTCCCACTGATACTAATGATGGGGCACTATTCCTCCCACTGATACTAATGATGGGGCATTATTCCTCCCACTGACACCAACGATGGGGCACTATTCCTCCCAGTGATACCAATGATGGGGCACTATTCCTCCCACTGACACCAATGATGGGGCACTATTCCTCCCACTGATACCAATGATGGGGCACTATTCCTCCCAGTGATACCAATGATGGGGCACTTTTCCTCCCACTGATACCAATGATGGGACAATATTCCTCCCACTGACACCAATGATGGGGCACTATTCCTCCCACTGATACCAATGATGGGGCACTATTCCTCCCACTGACACCAATGATGGGGCACTATTCCTCCCACTGATACCCTCGGCTTATACTCGAGTCAATAGTTTTTCCCAGTTTTTTGTGGTAAAATTAGGTACCTCGGCTTATATTCGGGTCGGCTTATATTCGAGTATATACGGTAATCATTCTCTTTTCTGAAGCTGTACATCTTAAAGACTGTTAATGTTTTTTATTATCTGTCTTTTACTTAACCCATTCATTTTTTTTTTTTGTCTTCCAGAAATTCCACGTATTCTTATTTCAAGAAGTTCTCGTTATTACCAGAACCATCACACAGAATGATAAACTTTATTATCAAATCTACCGTCAGCCAATTCCTGTAAAGGATCTCATACTGGAGGATTTACAGGACGGGGAAGTTCGTGTTGCAGGGTCTCTACGTGGTGCTTTCAGTAACAATGAAAAGAAGTAAGTCTGATAGTGGTATATGCCTCTTGTTTAACTCCATAATGTTAGAATGTTAGAAGTTTTGTTGTACCTTTATGGATATATGAATACACATATGAAGTGATAGTAAAAATAGCAAAAACGATTTACAGAAATAGTTCATGGGAAATAAACGTGAAGTAGTGAACTGGTATAATTGCTTACATAGTACTTAACAAGACAGCATAACAATACTAGTTATGGTGGGAGCTTCATATGTCTGTTTCAGGACTTTTGATCAGCATCAGTGCAGTGTATGGAAACCATGGCTTCAATGTAGTAAGGCTTGGGACCCAACAAGACATGTCCCTTTTCCCCATAACATGATGAAAATATACTAAGGAATCCAAGCCCCCGAAACATATCAGTGCTTAGCCCAGAAAAGCCTTCTTAGAACAGAAGGTATTTGCGCATCTCATTCAATCTCCTACACTCCTCCGCTGTCAGAGTATGCTGATTAGTGCTGCAGCCGATTGGCTGAAGTATTGTGCAACAAGCCCATTTGAAAGCAGTTGGTCTAATGATTGACTGCTCTCAAATAGGAACAGCCATAGATGGATTAAAATGCAGCCCCAGTCCCTGCTAAATAGGCTAAAATAAGATCCATCTATCACCAGCTCAAGATGGCTTTACTGCGCTACTAACTTAGAACTTAAAAACAGGGTGGATATTTGTCTGCTTCTAAACATTTGGTGGTGTTTTGTCATAGATATAACCTGGTAGGCATCTGGCTGAGCATGATTCATGAGATTTCAGCCAATAAAGAGAGATTCATCTGATCTGGAAGACAGGCAGATATATCCCACTTGTCATTGTTTTGAAGATCTCTGCTCATCTAGGTTCAAAATACATTCGAAGACTGGCACCCTTTTTCACAGTCTGGTAATGAACCCCCTTCATTTCTATAACTTGTGGGCATTTAGGCCTCACATTTCATACATACCTAAGGCACCAACCTTTTGTTGAACAAATCCTCGGTCTTAACACAAAATGGCCATAATGCCTGAATAGCTATGAGCAAAAGCAGTCTAACAGTTTTCAGAATGTAAGGAAGCCATGCTAGGATTATACGTTCAATTTTGTATTTAGTCGTTTGTGAATTTGGCTACCCGTGTATGATCAGCCTGGTTTATGCAGCTAGATCTACAGAGGCTGTGGGAATCTTTGACACTTGGGGGCTAATTAACCACTGTGGTAAAATCTTTGGAAGGGCAGATAGATTGATATGAGATGTAATATACAGTATATTGTCTACATGACACAAGGAAAGACTTTACTACAGTTATGGTTGACCTCTTGCTCGTATTGTAGGGTACAGGATAGGCAAAATGTTGCCAACTCATCTTCAGTAGTTAAACTGTAAACTAGATTAGAGTCTTTTTATTTTTCGTATCTATACATATCTGAAATCTATTCTATGGCTAAAACCATGTGCTTACTTTGTTTTCCTTATGTTTGTATTTCCAGTAAAGAACTTTTTCCGCGCAAGCTACAAGAATGGCTCTCATACGCAGTCTCATTCTCTCCAAGCAAATGACACTTTCAACAAACAGCAGTGGCTGAACTGCATCCGGCAGGCCAAAGATTCTGTTCTCTGTTCTGGAGGGGATGACATGCTTCCTTCAGAAGGACATTTATTAATACCTACAGAGGGATGTAATAATGTTCAGCAGGCCACACGATTTGAACAAATGGACCAGTCAGACAGTATCTCAGACTGCAGTATGGACACAAGTGAAGTTAGCATGGACTGTGAACAGATGGAACATACGGACTGTAGCACACACAAACAGGTTGAGAGTGATATTTGACAAGTCCTGGACTGCCTGTTACCTGTACAGTATTTGCATTCCACAAATGGAACAGTTGCTAAAGCACTTTTGTATAATTCTTCAAAAGGGTGCCGTCATGTCTTGCATTACCTATGGACAACAGTACTGTAGCAACCAGCCTTGACTGCAAGCCAAGACAAGATCCACCCCTATCCTCTGCTATGTTGTGCATTGGGATAGATGAGAATTACTCAAACAATTCCACCAGCATGCTGGCGTGAAGGGGCTTTCAAACTACTGTCAATATGTGTATACATATACAAAACAAATATATGTTTACTGTTTAAAAAAAAAAAAAAAATCAAGGTGTTACTGTTTTTTCTTATAGATGTGTCTGAGATACAGGCTGAAACAAAACTTGAAAAAAAGGCAAAGGAAGAAGTTATTTTTTTTACAGTGATTTCAGTTTACGCACATTCAGTTGTGTGGACACTAGCTTCATGGTTAGAATATTGTCATACATGTTCCTCCATGACTAAGTTATGCTTCTTTTTTTGTTTGTTTTTAGTCATCGCCAAGCTACGTGTATGTGTGGTATCTGTGAATGATTTTAAACCCCTAAGTTCTGTAAAATGATTTAATAAGACCTGGATGACCATTCTGCATTGAACATCAGTCTGATACCACACCAAATTAATTCACATAATAACTGACAGCCATTAGTGCTAAGTCTAACATATAAACCAACACCACCTCAAAATGATCTAAAAACATTGGGGTTGATTTACTGAAACGGGAGAGTGCAAAATCTGGTGCAGCTGTGCATGGTAGTCAATCAACTTCTAACTTCAGCTTGTTCAACTAAGCATTGACAAAAAAAAGACCTGGAAGCTGATTGGTTTCTATGCAGAGCTGTACCAGATTTTGCACACTCCAGTTTTGTTAAATCAATCCCATTATTAATTTGTTCTTGACCTAAGGCTTGATAACCTGCTAAACTCATATAACAATACCCTGCACTGTAATTCAGTGTAATATCTTCATAACATGAACATCAAAAATTGGGAGTCTGACTGTCCAGCTGCTGAGGCCACTGTAACAGTTTTTTTTTTTTAAACAAAAAACAAAATTCCCCCTATAAATATGTAATAGAGGTTAAGCCGTCAATATGCAGAGACAAAACCTTGAGAAGATTGTAGTCCTATTAGTGCACTACTGCTTGGACCTTGAAGAAGGGGACACGCCGCAAAAATTTGTCCTGAAAATTTGGACGTTACTGAAAATGAAAAAAGTATAACAGCCAGAACTCAATTGTTCCAGAGACAAATTCAAAATAAGTAATTAGTTGGTAAGTTTTTAGATGGTTATGGGCATTAAGTTGGACTATAGAGGTGAAATCTCATCAAATGTATTTAGGGACTAATGGCCTGCCCCTGTCAGCATCACTGGGCATGTTTTAAAGCTTTATCCATTGAATGAAGGATCAGGTTTATAATAAGAAGGTATGATGATAGAATGCATGTATAGTGTAATTATACTCTAACATGGAAACCTGTTTCCTACTTTTCCCCCAGGTCTTCCTCATTACTGAAAGCATAAAAACACTAACTCTTGTCTAGACAGGCTTTATGGCTTCTTAAGGTCCAAGCAGTGTTTGGGGGCTTTGTGTCCAGCTTTCTCCTTGCCCATTTAGCAAGTCTCTCTACTCCTAAATTTATGCTTATAATACTTAATAGTATAATATATACTAATTTTGGCATACATGAACTTAGGAGTATGGATGCCATTGCCTTCTGTGGAGGTGCCATGACTGTTGGGGAGAACACTGGAGATCTAGCCTACAAACTGTACTTGTATCATGGCAAGACAAACAAACTGGCCATAGATGGATCAAAATTCAGCCAGTTCAGCAGGGACTGGACAAATTTCAATCCATCTATTGCTCTTCCCAATCAACAGAAGTAAACTGATAATGTTGAAAAATGTTATTTTGATCAGCTGCTGCAGCATGATTAATGTATTCTCACAGTGAAGGAGGCCCTGCGGTCAAAACACAATAACACAGTGGGGAGCATTCCTCCATCCACCTTGCTTGTGTAGATGGGGGATTCTGCTCGTATTTTCAGGAACCTGTCAAAGGGCAGCCATAATGGATGTACAGGGAGAAAATTCTCTTTACTGTGAGGGGTGTTCAAGTCAAACCGGGACTTTTCAATTTCACAAGTATAAAAAAGGAATTCTAGCATGGTGGTATTACACACAGTAGTAAGTGGCAAGTGTGTCCTATTACTGATAGGTGGAGCACATGTCACGGGCTAATCCAGAGACCGTTATGAACGAATGAAGGCATAAAACCTACAGATATCTACAGAAGACTTCAAGCACAGTACAGCCCCTCGGCCGCAGTAAGACATTTGAATGTTGTAAACGTTTTAAAGATGATCCCGGTGGTGGTGGTGGTTCCCAGCACACAGCAATCATTCCTGTGAACATCCAGTGCGTGGAACACCTGATCCTGGATAATTGACGCATAACCTGTGGTGAAATTGCACAAGAGACTAATCTTTCTGTGGTATTTCACCACTGATGATGAAGCGAAGCAGGCTGTCCTAGGATGGTCCAGACGTACTGACAAATCTTTCTATGCTGAAGTTTTCCAGGCATCAGTTAAATGCTGGGATAAGTGTATAAATGTAGTAGGGGAGTATGTCAAAAAAATAAATGCAGTTTCCACTCATGCATTTGTTCTTTTTATTATATAAACTCAAAAGTCCTGGTTTGACTTGAACGCCCCTCATAGTAATGATTGTGGGCTGAGGTGGGTGAATTATATTCAGTTCTTAAGGGTCTCTGTCTGTTTATAGCATTGTTATAAAAGATTGCAGTTTTCATTTCCAATGTTTAATTAAAGTTTTGCTAATGTACAAAAAGGACAAAAATACAACAGATCGACAGTTTACAGTGTCAAACAAGTGCTTTATAAGAGGGGAATACAAAAAAACTTTAACAATCCCTGAGTTTTGCATAGGGAATTTAGATTGAAGTTCATCAAAACGTAAGCCAAAATATACAGGAGGTCTGTCATCGCCAACGTGACATCATCCAGTACCAAGAAGGACTCCAGAACATGGTACAAAACACTAAGCAGCTGTCTGTTGGCCATGCAAATTTCCCAAATGGGAGCCAAAGTAAAACAAGAACAGAGAAGAAAAGTAGTAGTAAGCCGCCCCCTTACCGATCAAAATATTGCAGTTGTAAGATAAGTAAGCTCACTCCCTTAATTTGGAGATTAAAATTTAATTGTAATTCAGGAATCTGAAGTTGACAAACAATCTGAATGTTACATCATGATGAATTTAAGTGCCGTAGTTTATATGATGTAGGAATCTACATTGCTGCCAAATTAGAAATTGCAGAAAAAAAATCTTTTTAATGCTTAAAAAAACTTCCGTTTTCCTTAGACACCATCTCTGACATGTTTATTATGCTCAGGTTTGTGGTTCTTACAACAGTAAAAACAAGTGATGGCGGTGGGGCTGGGTTTAGAAGGGTTTGACTTTCAAGTTCCTTTTTCATCTGCATATTTTGTATGTGTCCCACATATGGTATTTCCAAATATAGAATAGATATAAAAATTGGAGTTTAAGAAGAATAAGAATGTATTATGTGATCTTATCAACTTTCAATGTAACACTTTCAACCCTAGTACACATTAACATGGCCAATATTAGGGTTCTCTGGGCATACATAGGACTTTTGTCCATGGACTTCGATCAGCAAATGCAGTGTCCTTTTGATATCAGATTGAAATGCTTCTGGGATCATTCAGAATTCACTGAGTGTTAACCTGCATTTGCTTTTTCAACTTGTATGGGGTGAAAAGTAGCTCTGAGGCTATAAAACGCCTGTTAAGACTGGTCTCTCTGTCGTATGAAAAGCATGGGGCTGCCATTGCTGACCTCTCTGTTGAAAATGTTTGACACGCTGATGTGTTGGCTTCAAATTGTATTTCCACTTCTGCAGCAACATTGGGATAACACTTGATACATATCCCCAGTCACACAGAGTAACTTAAAAAAAATATATATTTAAACATTACATCTTACCTTTTTTAACACTCTGTCCTGGACCTTCTAGCAAGGAAAATCCTAAGGAGTTCTCTTTGTTAATGAGGAGGCTGAGCAGCTGTGTTTACCATAAATAACCCTGTCTGTACTGTGTAGGCAGATTTTCATTATCAATTGTGACTAGGTTTGAGCATTGTCTGTCCTAACAGAGGGTTATAGGTGTAGAGCAGGGGTGTCAAATTGGCGGCCCTCCAGCTGTTGCAAAACTACAAGTCCCGTCATGCCTTTGGGAGTCATGCTTGTAACTGTCAATCTTGCAATGCCTCATGGGACTTGTAGTTTGTCAACAGCTGGAGGGCCGCCAGTTTGACACCCGTGGAGTAGAGGCTATGCTTCTTGTATTGTTTGTTAATGAGGACAGAATTGGGACAGGCTCACTCTAATATTAAAAAAAAAACTTGCAGTCAGCCATCTCATCTCCTAATGAGAAACCGCTAAAAAGTAAGAATCACTTTTATTTTAGCCATGCTGTATGAATAGGAACACATAACAAACATGTAGTGGGGTTTTTTCAAATTTGACTGCAAACATGGAAATACGCTTTAATGCCATCTGATGTCTCTGATCTGTACCAAGATAAGACATTCTACATGTTCAGGGTTTATGGCTGGAAGCATTGAAGCCAGATAAAGCAAGGCAACTGGCATTTTCAAAAGGACAGCAAAGGTATCCTCTTATTTTCCCTTTAACCATCAAAGAAAATCAATGTAACCACTTTAACCATCATAGAAAACAAGGAAAGCATTCAATACTATAACTCCTGATAAAAGATGGCAGTAAGCGGTGTTTCCATCCCCTCAAAATGACCTGCTTGTAGTTCTTTGTGGCTATGTCTTGTACAGCAGGAAGAGCCCAAACCTCTTTGACCACTTTAGGCACAGGAGGACAAGACTGTAACAGGAAGGCATTGTG